GAGAAATGCCACTTTAAGGTGGATCTTTATCCTACACTGGATTCCTGTAAAGACCTACATCTATTTCTACAGAAATCTGTATACCCCTCTGGGCGAGCAGAGCAGGGGGAAGGGTCCAGGACGGAGCTCCTGTGCCCGACAGAGCCCAGGGAAGGGCCACGGTTCAGAGGGGGTGGGGGAGGCTGGAGGAAAGGACTGTAGACAGGGGAGCTGGCAAAAGCCCGAATAGTCCACAAACAGGCGCATGCACAAATGCACACACACTTACGTGCATGGGACCCACATACGTGCACACATGGACAAGCACAGATTCGAACTCAGTCACAGACCCCAACACACACACAGACAAGTCTCCCCAATGCACAGGACTTCTGGCAGCCAGGCATTTAAGGTAAGAGGACAGAAAGAATTTAAAAAGTAGAATGTTAATGTGATTATGAATAAGTTCCAGCAAGAAAAAACTGAGAAAATTAAGAGATTGAAAACACTTTTAAGTAATTTTTTTAAGTAATTTTTAAAGAAAAATTTCTAGAGTTGTGTTCAATGGTTTCCTAGCTAAAAGAACTAGTCAAATGCCCAAACACAGAGGATTGAAAAAAAACAAAACAAAAAGAAACCTCCACATCTAGACAAAATACTGTGAACTTTCAGAACATCAAGAAAAAAAAAAGATCATATAATCTCCCAAAAAGAAATGTTACTCTTAAATAAGTAAGACTCCGACAGACAGAGATAACTTTCCTCTTCACTAACATGATACTAGAAAGCGAAGAAATGATGCTTTCAACTTTCTGAGACAAGCTATTTTTAACCTAAAATTTTATAACCTGCAAAAAAAAAAAAAAATCTGTCCCTTTCTCCTAGGGATGTCCAGAGGACTAATGAAACAAAGAAGGTAAGATATGCCTGAAAATGCTCTAAGCTTGCAGAAGAAACGTGATGGTTTTACATAATAGAAACATGGGGGGCCAATCTGGATACTCTAAAGATCTGGTCCTTAAATAACGTGCTATTTGCAGAGAATAGCTGTGAAGTCGCCAGATTAACATAAGGGCAGGTTGCCCGGGGACCTAACATGCTCACTGCCCCTGGGAAGAACCGAGGGAAAAGTCAACTCTGTCACCGGGGAACACAACTGCCCGTGGCAACCACGATCTTGTATTTTAAAAAATGAAATGTTTGTTTGGCACTCTCGGTGACGGGCCAGCCTGGCCTTTCCTGGAAAACAATCCAGCACAGACAGCCCCGCTGGGTTTTTTTTTTTTTTAGCATTAAACTAAGGTTGAGGCGAGGCTCTCAATAAGGTGGCTGGGACACAGAGTGAGTCGCAGTGCCTCTCTCTGCACGGGAGCTGCCTGTGCACGGTGAGGTGGAAGGCGGGAGCGTGCGGTGCTCGCTGGGGGCTGTATGCGTGAGAAAGTGCTTCACGGGCAGCTTGGCAGTTCCTTTTTGTTTTCCCGGAGCTGAGGTCTCTCTCTATTTACCCAGGACAGACTCAAACTCCTGGGCTCTAGTGAGCCTCCCACCTCAGCCTCTCGAGTTGCTGGGATCGCAGGCCTGAGCCACCGCACCCGGCTTGACAATTCGGATTCTGTGTTTTTGGTTGCTCTCTTTGCCCTCTTTCCTGGGTCATCTCTACAGAGTCGGTTTTGCATTTTCAAGATGTGCTCTGCCCTCCTCCTCCCTACACCACACCCAGGATACCTTCGCAAAGTGGAAGAGTGGGACCTCAAACTCCCCGGTGAGCCGAGACCCTCAAAGAGAAAGTTAAACTTGGAACGGAAATGTCAACTTCTGCTACAAAAAAGGATTAATGAACAAATCTGGAAAAAATTACTCAGAATTGCGGAATAGAGAGTGAGGAGATAGAAAAAATTCGTCATGAAGAGATGTGGGGCTGGGCGCGGTGGCTCACACCTGTAATCATAGCACCCTGGGAGGCCAAGGCAGGAGGAGCGCTTGAGCTCAGGAGTTCAGACCAGCCTGAGCAAGAGCGAGACCCTGTTTCTACTAAAAATAAAAAAATTAGCTGGGCATGGTAGCACACACCTGTAGTCCCAGCTACTCAAGAGGCTGAGGCAGGAGGATTGCTTGAGCCCAGGAGTTTGAAGTTGCTGTGAGCTATGATGACACCACCAAGCTCTACCTGGGGTGAAAAGTAAGACTCTGTCTCAAAAAAAAAAAAAAAAAAAAAAGATGGATAGCTCAGACTTCCAGGTTTCTGAGGCAATGATGGTCATCTAGCTAAATCTCCCACACATCGCCAGTAAACCAGACAGCTCACAAGGAGGACAAATAAAATAACACAAGTTCTATCAGCATAACTAGAAGACAGAGGTTACAAACTTCAAATTACCTATATGTAGAAAAATAAACAGCAATTTCCGGAAAAGATATATCTGAAGTTACCATGCCTGGCCTCCATTTTTAGAAATTAGAAAGAGGCAACATAATAAACACAAAGACATAGAAGATACTAGAGGGGCGCGGTGGCTCACGCCTGTAATCCTAGCACTGCGGAGGCGAGGCGGGCGATTGCTCGATGTCGGGAGTTCAAAACCAGCCTGAGCAAGAGCGAGACCTCCGTCTCTACTATAAATAGAAAGAAATTAATTGGCCAACTAATATATATAGAAAAAATTAGCCGGGCATGGTGGCGCATGCCTGTAGTCCCAGCTACTCGGGAGGCTGAGGCAGGAGGATCGCTTGAACCCAGGAGTTTGAGGTTGCTGTGAGCTAGGCTGATGCCACGGCACTCACTCTAGCCTGGATGACAAAGCGAGACTCTGTCTCCAAAAAAAAAAAAAAAAAAGATACTAGAGATGAGAATGGAAATTAACGAAATAGGAAGAAAAGACACGATATAGGCTGGGTGTGGTGGCTCACACCTGTAATCCTAGCAGTTTTGGAGGCCGAGGCGGAGGATCACTTCAGGCCAGGAGTTTGAGACCAGCCTGGGCAACATAGCGAGGACCCCAGCTCTACAAAAAGTAAAAAAATTAGCCAAGCGTGGTGGCATACACCTATAGTCCCAGCTAATTGGGAGGCTGAAGCAGGAGGATCACCTGAGCCCAGGAGGTCAAGGTTGCAGTGAGCTATGATCGTGCCACTGCACTCCAGCCTGAGTAACAGAGTGAGACCCTATCTCTAAAAATAAATACAAACACAGAAAGGATACAATACAGAGAAACAACAAAGTCAAGAGTTTATTCTTTGAAAAGACTAATAAAATAGATAAACCACTGGTGAGACTGGGGGGAAGAGAGAGAGAGAATGAGAGAAGGTAGTTTATAAAACAAGGTAATCTATCATGACCAATTTGTCCTAGGAACGCAAGGGGAGTTTCATGGAAAATAAATTAATACAATTTGCCATACTGATGGATTAAAGGAGAAACCTATATTATCATCTCAATGGTTACATGAAAAACAAGAAATTCAATACCTTTTCTTTTTTTTTAAATGTATTTGGCAAACTAGGAACATAAGGAAACTTCCTTAACTAGATAATCTAAAAAAAACAACCCTTATTAGTGAAATACTAACAGCATTTCCCTTAAGACCAAGGGAATAACAAGGAGGCAAGCTATTATTAATGTTATCACTTCTATTTGACATTGTACCAGAGCACTCAGCCAGGAGAATAAGAGAATAAAAGCAAATAAAAGATAATAGGATTAGAAAGGAAGAAACAAAGCTGATTATTTCCAGGTGATATGATTATCAAAATAGAAATCTGTGAAACACATTTCTAAATAAATTATCAGAATTATAAAGAGTTTAGCAAGATTGCTGAATACAAATTCATTTTATAAAATTCAATTGTATTCATTTTACAAAATTCAATTCTATTCAATAAGAAGTGTTTTCTTTAAAAATTCGATACCATTTGCAATAACAGAGCTTGTGAATAAATCTCATGAATAATGTGTAAGTTCTATAATGGAAAAAATTTATAAAACTTTATTAAAAGATTCAAATCAACAGAACCCTGTAACTGTCTTCATGAATAGGAAGATTGAATATTCTACGATGTAATTGTCCACGAATTAATCCATAAATTTAATGGAATTTAGTTTCCAATAGGTACTTATAAGCAGATTCTCAGCATTGCATAGGAAAGCAAAAGGCCAAGAGTAGGCAAGATACTCCCAAAAGAACAAGGTAGAGGAAACTTAACCTACTGTAGTCAATTCCAGTTGGAAAGACCAAAACTATAATAATGTAATGCAGGAGAACACCTTTATAACTTCTATGTAAGGAGAGATTTGTAAAATAAACCATCAAAAAAAAAATCTATGTAAACCTTAAAGGAAAAAAATGAATAATTTCAATGACATTAAAACTAAAAACTTCTGCTCATCAAAAGACATCCCAGATGAAAAACAAAAAAAGTCACAATCTGTGATTAACTATGTGTAACATAGATAACCAACAAAGGATGAACAGTTAGAATTTTTGAGTTATTAGTAAGAAAAAGATAATGTAATTTTTAAGATGGACAAAAGATATCACAGGTATTTAACAGAAAACATGAATGCCCAGTAAGCATATAACAATATTCTCAACCTAATTAGTCTTTTAGAAACTAAAATTTCAAGTCACTAGGAGATACCATTTAATACCTATTAGACTGGCAAAAATTAAGGAATCTCTCATTATTAATGCTCAGGAGCACACAGATCAGGGACTCACAAACACTACAGAAGGGAGTATCAGTTTGCACTGTGAAAACCGTTTTGAACATTTGCATATCCAAATAAAATAGAGGAGCAGATTTAAACCGGTCACAGTCAGCCACAATAAGAAATGCATTTTATGTTCCCATCCAGTATACTAACATGCTTACAAGTGAAATTAGTTTAAGAAAAGAATACTTGCTCTTACCATATCTTACAAGCTCGGATATTTTCTGTTTTTTCATACAAAAGTGTCCATGTCTTTGATACCAGTTCTACGTGAATTTATATAGAGTCAGTCCTGGCAGCCTAGACTCCTTACCTGAAGGCTTCATTGAGGGATTTTCTCGAGGTGCAGCAGACCGGTGTTTCAGCTGAGCCCTGGCGTTTCTCTCTTTTGACTTCTTTTGTTTTCTGGTCATTTTTCTTAAAGTTTCAGGAAGTTATCTCAGTTCATTCCAGAGCTTAATATACTCAAATTGCATATTAATTCTCTTGGAAAATATCTTCTTCGGTCCAACAATTTCAGCAGCAGCATGGTGGTTTGACATTCTAGATTCTTTCCAATCTTGCCATGGTAATGTTTGTGAGATCTTCCTGTTGGAATAGCATTTGTTCCTCTGATGTCTACCATCTCAGCTTCCTGGTAGGGTCCCATGCATGCAGTCAAAGGAGCAGCTCCGTGTTTTCCAAAAGGCCTAGGGGACCATACAGAGTCTCTCTTCTTCCCTCTCTGGTCACTGTTCTGGCGATTACTTGAAGATCTCCTTTCTCATTGAAACCTATCTCCTCCTCCCAACCTATCTCCCCTTCTCTACCATCCCTGCTCCTTTCATGCATGCTGGCCACAGTCAACTGAATTTATTTTCACGACTTACTAATAGACTGAGACCCACAGTTTGAAACAACAGTGCCCTAGAGAATCTCTTACATGATGTGTCAGGAAACACATGCAAAAATGTTTGTGGCCACCATTTTTTTTTGCAATAGAAAACCATGTAGGGTCAACATCTTCTCCACTTTCAGGAAAAGTGTTCACACAATGAATGAATGTTCACACAGTAGTGAAAATGCATGAGCTATTCATGTATACAACAACGTGGATAAATCTTGGAAATACAACGTTGAGTGACAATAAACGATTTTTCAGATGACTGCACATAATATGACATTTTATAACACTCGAAAACAAGCAAAATTAAATGTTTAGGGAAATATGCATATGTGATACAACCATTTATAAAACATCAAGGAGAAAATGAAAACAAAATTTAGGGTAGTGTGACTTCTGTGGGGAGTCGGGGAGATGGGATTGGACAAAAACACACAGGCAGCTTCAACAATACTGATCCTGTTCTGGTTTCTAAATTGGGCAGTGGTTTCTCAGTTTATCATTATTCCTCATAACTTATAATTATCTTATCATACTTATTTTAATGTGGTTATTGTATGTTATATGCTTATTATATACTTATATTAAACCTGTACTTATTTATTATCCCATATAACTATCAGATATCATGCAATATATTTTTTATAATTAAAGAAACTGAAGATTTGGTCCAAGTTCCCACAAGCTAGAGTCAAGGAGGAACCCCACACGCTTGGAGTAACAGCGGCTTTGCCAGAGGCCCAAACCTCCCGTGGCTGGTCCTGAAAGGAGACGCCGGCATTCTGCATGCTCCGGGCAAGGTTCCCAGCCCACCTAACACGGCCCCTATAACCTCAAACTCGTCTCCAGGCATTCCCATCCCCTTCTTGCTGTAATAGAAGCCCACTTCTTCCCTGAGGACATTGCTTTCCTTGCAGCCTTTTCGTGAGCTGCTTTCTCTCCCACCCCCATACACCTGGGCAGGAGATGGTGCAGGTGTGTCCTTGTTCTTCCCCGCTGCTTCCAAGCCACTCTTCCTTGGCTCCGCTGGTTTTCACCTCCCCCCTGCTTTACCTTTCGCTCCCTGGTCCTGTGCCCCGCACTGACCAATAGAGTGCCAGTGAGGATGGGAATGCTCCACACCTGTGCGGTTTACTATGGCGGCCACTGGGGCTTTTGGAATGTGGCTGGTGTGACCGAGGAACTGAATTTTTTCACTTGATTTACTTTTCATTAATTTAAACAGGCACCCGAGGCTAGTGGTTATCGTACTGTGAAGCACAGCCCTAGACTTTGTCCGAATCAGCAACTGGAAAGTCCTGATCCCAACCTCCACCTCAGTCATCACACTCCACTACCATCATCTATTCTTCCAGCACATTCATTCAAACATAAGATCCAATCACCCTTTAATCTCTATAGGACCCAAACCCCACTGATTCTACAGTGATTTCATTGGCCCTCAATGCTTCATTTCCTCTCCCCCCCAGTTTGAATATTATTAATACAATCTCAAAACCCTTGTGTCCTCCTCTAGCTTCACTGTATCTGCTTGGCAAGGCCAGCCTCTTCCATCTCCGTGCTGACATCTGCACATCTGCACGTGGAGAAGAAGAATGCCAGCTGTGAGGACGGGGCTCCTGGAATTCATGGCCGTCAGCCTCAAGAGCCCGCTCAGCATCACGCGGCAGTCTCATCTCTTTCACTCCCCGCTGTCATAGGGTAAGCATTTTAGATCTTCTTTCCTCTCAAGCCTCCACCTCTCCACCCACATCAGCACTCTCAGCTTTCACCCGGTTCCCCCAGCACACCTGCCACCTCCCAGCATCTGTGTCCTTGACCCCGCCCTCCCTTCTGTTCTATGGGTCAGCTGCCTCTGCTCTTACTAAGACCAGCCCCGTATTAAAGATCCCACCTCCCTTCCCTTATCCAAGGACATTGCCCCAGCAATTCTCTTCTCTGTCTCTCTGGCATCATCAATTTTTCCTTCTCCACTGAATCTTTTCTATCAGCATACAAACATACCATTATTTCTTGCATATTAAAAAAAAAAAAAAAATGGCCGGGCGCGGTGCTCAACGCCTGTAATCCTAGCACTCTGGGAGGCCGAGGCGGGCCGGATTGGCTCAAGGTTCCAGGAGTTCAAAACAGCCCTGAGCGAGACCCCGTCTCTACCATAAAAATAGAAAGAAATTAATTGGCCAACTAATTTATATATATAATATATATATATTATATATATATATATATATATATATATACTATAAATCAGCGGGCATGGTGGCGATGCCTGTAGTCCAGCCTACTTCGGGGTAGGCTGAGGCCAGGAGGATCTGCTTGACCCAGGAGTTTGAGGTTGCTTGTGAGCTACTGACGCCACAGGCACTCACTCTAGCCTGGGCAACAAACGCGAGACTCTGTCTCAAAAAAAAAAAAACAACTCCATTCTGATTTTCCATTTCTTACCCCACTTTTTTGTTGTTGTTGTTTTGTTTTGTTTTTTGAGACAGAGTCTTACTCTGTTGCCCAGGCTAGAGTGAGTGCCGTGGCATCAGCCTGCTCAAGCAACCTCAAACTCCTGGGCTCAAGCAATCCTCTTGCCTCAGCTCCCGAGTAGCTGGGTACACAGGCACCGCCACATGCCCGCTAATTTTTTCTATATATATTTTTGGCCAATTAATTTCTTTCTATTTATAGTAGAGACGGGGTCTTGCTATTGCTCAGGCTGGTTTTGAACTCCTGAACTAATATACATTCCCACCAACAGTGTATGAGGGTTCCCCTTTCTCCACATCCTCACCATAATTCATATATTGCCTGACTCTTTTTGATAAAGTCATTTTAACTGGGATGAGATGTTTCTCACTATACTTTTGATTTGCATTTCTCTGATGATCATGACGTGTAGCTTTTTTTCATATAGCTGTTGGCTATTTGTATGTCTTCTTTTGAGAAATGTCTGTTCAGATCTTTGCCTATTTTCATGGAATTATTTGATTTTTTCCTATTGAGTTGTTGAACTCCTTATACATTCTAGTTATTAATCCTTTGTCAGATGGGTAGCTTGGAAATATTTTCTCCCATTCTGTGGTTGCCTCTTCACTTTGTCGATTATTTCTTTTCTGTTCAGAAGCATTTTAGCTTGATATGATCCCATTTGTCAATTTTGCTTTGGTTCCGTGCTTTGGGGCATTACTCAAGAAGACCTTGACCAAACCCAGGTGGGTTTTCTCCCCAGCACCCACCCCTTGTGCTCTCGAGGTGGCCAGAGGGTCCTCTCACTCAACAGTTAGTGCCTTTCTCCTTCTGTCCTGCTGGGCATCCCAATCTCCCTGTGGTGCCGGTCACCACTCTGACATCCCCTGTTGGGAAGCCAGGCGGTCTCTTCTCTAATCATTCTTGTTGATCCTCTGGCCCGAAGAGGAATTCCAAGTTTGGTCACCACTCAGGCTCTTCTCAACTGCAGGCTTGTCTTCCTGCCCACTCACACACCCCTTGTATGTCTACAGACCGTCCCAACGCCCCCTTGTATGTCTACAGACTCCCATACTTAAATGGCCGAGACGACTCTCACCATTCCGCAGCCCTCTCCCTAATACTCCTCCTTCAGTCTTGCCCTTTCCAACTAATGCCAGCCCCATTTGCCCAACACTCAGACCAAAATCCTCAAGGTCACCTTTGATTCTTCTCTTATTCTTACGCTACATTACATCTGTCAGCAAATCCTGTCAACTCCAACTTCAAAACATATCCAGAACCATCAAGTTCTTTTTCACCTCCACTGCCCCCGCCTGTTCCAGGTCACCCTCATTTCCCACCTGGATTGTGGGACTAGCCTCTCAACCCCCCTCCTGCTTCCTCCTTGCTGCAGTGTTTCTTAGTAGGGATTCTCAGTTGACATTCTGTGGAAGACTGTTCTGAGTTGCAAAATGTTTAGCATCCCTGGTCCCACGTCACTGCGGCAACCAGTGTCCTCTCTCACATGTGCACACACATGCTACTTCAAACATCCTGTCCAGATGGGGGTCAGATTGTGTCACTTCTCTGTGCAAACCCTCCAAAGACTTTGGATTTCATGCGGTGAAAGCCAAAGCCCTTATCACAGAGCTTAAGAGACCCTACAGGATCTGCTCTCGTTTTACCTCTCTGATCTCCTCTGTTCCTACACGCCCTCTCTCCATTCCAGCCATGCTGAAGCTCTCTGAATGGGCTGGTGAATCCTCCTTCCTTGAGGCTTCTGAGCTACTTCCTGGGCTTTCTCTCCTCGTCTGTGCAGGGCTCTCAACCTTATCTCATGTCTCAGCAGGGCTTCTCTAGCTTCTGTATTTAAATTTGCAAGCTTCATCCTCAGAAGTCTCTATCCTTTGTAAGAAAAAAGAAAATCTGAAAGAAAACTTTTTAGAAAGTGGCTACAGGTTGGGACATACAAGCAGTAGAAACCAGGCCTATGAATTAAAGCTGAACCCTCACCCACAAGGCTGGAGTCTGTCAAATGTTTCACTGACACATATTGATCATAATCTTGCTTATCTTGCTAATGCGTGATAGGCTCAATTATCCGGGCAGGAGGGGATGGGTAAATGCGCACCTAACATGTACAATGCAGGCTAGCTGGGTGATGGACACACTTATACTTTGACTCAAACTGTATAAAACTAATCCATGTAACCACAATGTCGGTACCCCTGTAATAGTCTGAAATTTAAAAATAAAAAGAATCAATCATTCCTCTCCAGACCCAAAGACAAGTGCACAAAGCCTGTGCACTTGTGAACATTTTAGGTGGCGTGCGTTACCACATATTTGCTTTACCTTACTATAGTATAACATCACCGAGCACTAATGAGAATCGTAAGATTGTCACCCTTGTGTCACTGCCCACCTTCGCCTGTTTCTATGGGACAGAATGTCTAACTCCTGGGTCTCGTGCGGCCCACTCTGGGATGCCGTCTCAGTCTGTGCCGAGTCTGTGCCCCAGGCTGCCAGTCCTCACGATTGGCTCCAAATAACATTAACTTTAC